GAGCATGCAGAGGGGGCGTAGGTCTGCGAGGGGCCATGGTCCGCCGGGGGCCTCCAGCACGGCCGTCAGCGAGGGCGCGGCGTGGTGGCAGAGCTGAGGGTGCCACAGGCTGAGGTCCCGCATCTCCGCCGAGTCCGGGGCCTCGCCGGCCCCGCTCAGGCACCGCGGCAGGTGCATCGGGGAGCTGCGGAAGGCCTTGAGGTAGGCGAAGGGGTCGTGGCCCGTGGGCGGGAGGGCGAAGTTCTTCGGCGTCGGGATGCTGTCCATCGCGCAGATCGGCATGGGGGAGTCCCGCGCCGGGTAGAACGACGTGCCGAAATCGACCGTCTGCAGGACCGGCATCGAGACCGTGGGGAACAGCCCATCCACCTCGCGCGCCACGTTGCGCGTCATGGACAGGATGTATTCCACCAGGCGGACGGCCTCCTCCGCGCCCTCGGGCCGAAACCGGGTCCCACAATTGCCGTCCTCATCCGTGTTCGGAAAGTTGACGGAGAAAAGCGGCGATGTGGGGCTACATGGAACCGAGACGGGAATGGGCTCACTTTTCCATATGTCCTCTACGTCTGCCTTCCCAGGCGTACTTTCGCCAGCCGCTAATCGCGGCTTTAGGGGTTGCGGCACCGTCATCAGACCTTTAGACAGGGACGCGTATTCTTGGAGGGCCTTCTCGCACACCTTGATCATCCGAAATAAGGTGGTCTTGATCAAAAGGAGGGAGTGACTGATCACTTCATTACTTTTTTCATCTGCATTTTCGAGGCGCCCTGAGACGGGCTCCTGCGAGCCGGCCCTGCGCGCATTCAGAGTCTCCTCCTTGAAATCCGTGGAATGCTGTTGGATGCGGGAAGACGCTAACGTATAATGGGGTATAAATTTAGATTCCATCCCCTGCAGTCGTGAATTCTGAGCCGGAAAGATCTCCTTATGGTTTGTTGCTAAAGAGGCGTATATTGGAATTAATGAGGATGAGAGGGCCGCGATGGAGGCCGGAGAGGATGCCCGCGCTAAGGCCAGAAGACGTGGAAGGATCCACCGCGTGAAGAGAGCAGAAAAGACGACCCATTTACACTCGTCGACCTTTTCCAGCAGGGGGCTCTCAGACCAACGTGTGGTGATGCCTTCTGTGGGTATGTTGGGAGCACCGCAGATCTTGTGCCATACTTTGCCTAATCCAACAGTTCCAGAAGAGCATTCAGAGAGCGATAAAGATAACTGCGAGCTTTTTTGTGTGCTCAGGAGGTTTACCACGGATTCTTCGCTGTCCTCGATTTCATTTTTAGTGTGGGATTTATTTACAGTAAAATATAATTCTCGTTCGTTTGGTTGGGCCATCGTCGGAGCGTTGAAGTTTATTTGGGTACTACGCCTGGTTCTGTTCAACTCAGAGGTTGGTATGTCATCCCCCGCCGAGATAATGTTGAGGATTGTGTTTAGTAGATAAGAGAGAGCACCTCCCGGAAGCGGAGGTGATGCGCTCCTTCCGAGCCCGTAGTTTATCTCACTTTTAAGCGCCGCTTCCAAGCCGGCGGCGGCGTTCTCTTGCGGGATGTATTTCACCGGGTTAAGATCCTCAGTGGTCACAGACAACAAGTTGCCTTCCAGCGAAATTTGTTGTGGGCTATCAGGGCTTAACCCTGATTTGTATGCGAGTGGATGTAGAATATTAAAGTTGATCCCGCTGCCGTGATCCTCACCCTCTTCGCAGGAGCTGCGGTTGGGGTTCGGCGCGTGTTCGGGCCCGACCTGCGGTAGGAGCAAACAGGACCAGTAATGCTTAACCAACCCAACGCAAAGTAGAATCAGCTGCTTGTGTGCGATGGACGCAGTATTTTGGTCGCACCGCCCCTCTCCGCTCGACAGGTCCGATTTTTCTTCTTTGAAATTCTCCAGCATAGACCCTGATACCACCTCCCTTAGGTTTTGGTAAACATCGCTCTCGAAAAAGTGAAGTATTGGACGGCATAAAGTCCGAAGACGGTCTCGAGAGGCCGCGAAGGTTAGCGCCTGCCGCACCGCCGCGATATCATCGCGCTGCGCGTGGGATCGAAAGCGCTTTTGGAGGTGCGAGCGCAGCCACTCACGCTTTGATAACCCCTCGTGAGCGTCAAAACGCACCACCGATGAATCGCTCAGCCCCGAGGAGAAAACCCCCACCCCCCACCCCGGCTCGATAAGGGCGTTCATTACATCCTGCGCGATCGTGGTGGCGAGGGTGAATATTCCCTGCAGGGTTGTGAGCTCGGAAAGGGATTCCACCCCACCCTCACACTCCATCGTCAGCAGTTCTTGGTGGCCGTTTTCAAAAAAAGCGGTCACCGCTGTCGGAAAGACGACAAGGTCGCTCTCTTTCACACCTTCCACGCCGCTTTTACCTTTCAGGCCGTGAATTTCGCAGTGGGGCATTTCTTCACCCGTTTGCCCCCCGGTTTGAGGTATTTTCACTCGCATGGCACAGGATTGCATACACCGTTGTTGATATCGTGCACCAACAATAATAAGCAACTTCGCAATATCGTTTTGAAGATCAATGACCATGTTCTGAAGCGCCCGCCAGCACATTGGGGCCATTCGAGCCTTTTCACCGTCCGCTGAAAAGTAATGGAAGGAGTGGTTCGACGGAGGAATCGCTGAATGGGTTGATTGCTCGACTTCCGGGGAGGTTTCGCTCGCCGAAGAGCTCTCCGAATCCAACACCATCAGCCGCCATTCGAGGAAATTGGGAAAGAACGCCGGCGGGGATACCTCGCCGGCGGGGGAGGGGAAATAGTGTTGGAGGAGGTGCGCTATGAGCGCGGCCTCCGACGCGGGTTCGGCGTGAGTGGTGGCCGTGAGCATCCGCGGGGGGACATCCTGAACGTGAACGTTCGATGTCGATTTTACTACTTTCTCGTCGAAATCCCACTGATTATCTTTGTGCATTCCTGTATTGCGTTCTCTAATGGCATTTTGTTCACTTTTTTCATTTCCCTTATCGTCTTCTTCATGACTAGGTAAGGAAACAATAGTCCAAATGCTGTTTTCCAGCGAAGCATGCGGCAGGCCTGTCGTATGCAAGTTATCCTCATCTTCCTTTGAATCCTCAATGTCCTTCAAACCCTCCGCTCGCGGTGTTTCATGAATAACGGAAAAGAAAAAGCGATAGGATGGTGTGGAATGGGTCTCTTCCGATGGAAAGGGCTTTTCGTTGATATCAGTGCTTCGATGGATGGAGCGGAGGAGATGCGGGGGACTATTCTTGTTGAGAAGAGCCAAGGGCTCTGGAATTTGGACGACCACCGTTGAGTGGCTTTGAGTCGTCGCAGCCGTCGGGAGATCCTCATGCTCTTTTTCCTCCTCTTCCTTTATTTTTAATGCTTCTACAACATAGCGTAAGGTACGCTGGATTTGCCTTCGTGAACCCGCCACGTGAACAAAATGACTGAGAGAAACGATCTGTCGCCAGAGCTTCAGATGCATAGGGTTTAAAGGTTGGGAATCATTATCATCATCCCATGCATTGATTTCTCCATTATTTATATGATTATCATCCCCATCATTATCATTGGAGCCTGAAATCTCGAGAAACAGCGCATTGTACGACGCCTTCTCGTCCGTTGTTAGTTTCGTCCCTACACTTTCAGACGAAATGAGATCGGTGGCAGGCAAAACACGAACCTGAAGTGGTTCATTTTCCTTTTCCCGTGGCCTACTTGCCGCATCGAATGGAGCTTCTTTGAGTTTGTTTTTAGAAGGGAAGCGTCGAAGCGCCCCCACCAGAAGGGGGGTGTTGGTGTATGGGTCGCCGACCTTTTCCTCCCTTCTTGATGGAAGCCCTAGCGCTATGCGTAGGATCCGCAGAAGCGATTCGCTTTCCAAAACCAGCGGATGCGCAGGCAGATCTTGCGTTTCATTTTGATTATTATGAGTTCCGCCCATCGGTAAAGTTTCCTCAGATGCACGGAGCCCTTCCTCTTCAGCGACGCGTAGAAGAGAAGCCGCAAGGTCGTCTATCCGGTGCCAAGGGCTGCTACTCGAATTACCTGATTCGCACCGCGGCGTGCACTTTTCCTCCCCCTGCTTCGTCCCTAATTTCCAGTTGGTTTGCCTAGCAAGGCCCAAGAACAGCGGTGAGGGGATTTGCCACTTTTCGTTCTTTTTTCCTCCTTCCTCGTCCAGAGGGGCGTAGGCGCAGCTGTGTAAAAGATTTTCTAGAACTGCCTCGTATGTTGTCGATGGCTCTCTGCGCCTGGCGTCGTTTTCGGAGGGGTGTTTTTCCTCGACCATCGGCGGACCCCGGCGAAGCCCCTTCGCAGTCTCGCGCAGTTCGCCCAATTCGACAAGCAGTGCGGCCCACGAGGAGGGCATCGTCGTGATCGCCTCCGCGGGGAATTCGGGCTGGATGAGAAAATCAGCTCGCGCAGAAGGCCTATTGAAGTGGTCGACCCTTTCCCCTCCTCCGTTTTTTTTGGGGGGCATGTGGGAGAAGGCCCGGAGGCCCTTGCCCTCCCCGCTTGCGAATCTCCCAGATGGGGTGGAGTGCACGCGGAGAAGGGCCCCGAGCCATTCTCGCTCCACCGCCTGCCAAGCCGCGAGGAGGGCCTCGCCGGGGTTGGGGCGGAAAGGCGTCCCCCCCCCCCTCCCCTCTCTTCCCAGGGGCCTTCTTGCGGGTTGAAATAATCCCGGAGGGCCCCTTCCAGGATGGCCTTCGAGGCCCCACCCTGCGGCCTAAACCGGGACCGCCATAGGATGGGATCGGAGCCGTGGCGGCCGTCTCCGCGTTGCATTTTCTATGGTGTGAGGTTTAATAGTAGGTTTCAGCAATTTCTATGAGTTACGTCACAGGAACCGGTAAGGGGGTGTGCCGTGTGACAGGTCTCTGAGGTCTATTTCTATGAGGCCTTCGGTTGCGTGTGGGGGAGCTGCACCCGCCACCGGGAATCACAACAGGAAGAGAGAAAAAAGAAGGAAAAAGAAGGTACCGCACGTGGGGGCATCCAACACCACCACCTCCGCCTATCGCATAGGGGTTCAAGGGAGTGCAAGCCGTAACGTCAATGCCCCCTCCCCCAAAGGGGGGGGGTTCCTTTAGATTTCTAGAGGTTCACTGACCGTGAAATGTTACACTCACCTTCTCAACAGAGGTTTGTGGTTAGAGAAGATAAGGCCTCACATCTCTCCATCCCTCGTATCACAAAAGAGATTAGAACCATCCATCCATGTTATCTTTTTAATCACTTTATCCGGAAAAGATCTATAAAAAAAAAGTATCAAGGATTCGTAAATGACTATGCCTAAATAGTTCGTTTGTTGAGATTTAGCCATCACACATTTTTTCTCCAAAGCATTTGTTCTTGACTTTATTGCCAAAGTTACTATTGTGCATGTATTAAAAAAAAAAAAGACACGTAAACACCCTTCCCTTCATGTCCTTGACAATTTTTTTTCATCTTAACTACAAATACTACCTTTTTATATCAAGAATTTAGATACAGATTCCTATTTGTCTGTTATTACGCGCTGAATGATTTTTTTTTTTAGGATTAATCACGCTTCGAAGGGGGTCGATAGGCCTCCGTTTTCGAGCTTGTTGGTGGGCGGTATGCCGCCGCTCCGGTCCTCTGCGAGGGCGGGACGTACTTTCCGCCCGCTTTGGCGGCCGATTGAGTTGGATTTGCGTGGGAAGTGCCCTCCGAGGGCCTGTGAAGGTCGCCATTTCCGCGATTAAACTCCTTCCCGGCGTGGAGCTCCGCCCTCGTGAAGGA